AGTTCTAGGATTGGCAGATCAAAAGGGTCCTTAATGAGACATGTAATGAGATCCTTATCCTTTACAAGAAGTATAGTATTTCTGAGTTGGTTGTCCCTCATGCCTACTTAGAAGGACTCTAATCACCCATTGATCAATAAAGGATTCTAGTTCTAAATATTGCAATGACACGCCTAGTAAAAGATTTGCCTTTACAGTAAACACTAGATTTTTCTGCTTCAACTCTGCTCTCAAGGCAAATTCTTTAAACTTGTGTGAATGATATAAATGCCACAGAGAAGATAGAAATGATGTACCATAATAAAATATTTCCAGATTTATCTGAAGTTCTCACTTCAACTGGTGCCCCTATACTCCCATATCTGTTTTCTTATCAATCTTTTATGATAGCACCCACTGTGTCACTCCCTTCAGTCAATGAAGGAATCACAAAAGAAATTAGAAAATATATGAAACAAAATGAAAATGCAAAATGTCAAAATGTATGGCATGCAGCAAAATCAGTGCTTAGAGAGAAATTTACAGCTTTAAATGCATATGTTTTTTAAAAAGGAAAAAGTCTAATATCTATGATCAAAGCTTCCACCAGAAAGGATAAAGAAGGAAAATCAAATTAAACTAAAAGTTAGTAGAAAAAAGTAAAGAATAATTATAAAAGTAGATTATGAAATACAAAATTATTATGAATAAAATCTGAAAACAAATGTTGGTATTTTGGAAAGATCAACACACTGACTAATCTCTAGCTTACTGAAAATTAAAAAATGAGAGACATACAAACTACTAGATCAGAAATGAAAGTAAGTCAGTATAGACATTATAGATATAAAAGGAAGATAGAAGATTATGAACAATAAATTCGACAGCTAATGTGAAATTGATAGATGCTTTGAAAGATACAAATAACCAAACAGATTCAAAAAGAAATAGAAAATCTTAATAGTGTGTACCAATGAAAGTGAATTTTAATTTAAAATTTTCCCACAAAGAGAACTATAGGCCCTCAGGTCTACACTGGTGAATTCTATTGAACATTTAAGAAGAAATAATACCAACGCTAAACAAAGTCTTTCAGAAAATAGAATAGAATAGAATAGTTCCCAAGTTATGTAATGAAGCCAGCATTAAATCAGTACAGAAATCAGACGAAGATATCACAAGACAAGAAAAATACTGTTTAATATCACTCATGATTATAGGCACAAAACATCTTACCAAAAGATTAGCAAATGAAATCCAGCATGATTTTAAAAGGACAATACATCATGATCAAGTTGAGTTTTTTTTCCCAGGAGGCAAAGCTAGTTTAACTTGTGAAAGTCAATCAGTGAAATTCACCATATTAATAGAATAAAGAAGAGACGCCATCAGATCATCTCAAGAAATGCAGAAAAAGCGTTGGACAAAATTCCACATCCTTCCATAATAAACACTCTCAGCAAACCAAGACTTGAAGGAAACTCCTTAAACCTGGTAGAGGATACCAACAAAAAATTGCTAATGCCTTACTTACCGGAAAAAGACAGAACTTTTCCCTTAAGATTGGGAAGGCAAGGATTTCTGCTCCCAATTCTTCCATTCAATGTTAACCTGGAAACCATAGCCAGTGCAAAAGGCAAGGAAGGGAAATAAAAGCATAACAACTAGAGAGGTAGAAATAAAACTTTTTATTTGTGGATGACATGATTATGTACTTAGAAAACCCTAAGGAATCTATTTAAAAGCTACCATAAATAAAATATGCATTTAGCACAGTCTCAGGATACATGGTCAATATTGCAAAAATCAGTTGTATATCTATGCCATTTATAATGGCATCCAAAAACGGAATACTTGGGGATGAATTGAGAAAAATATGTTCAAGATCTGTACAATAAAACTCTTCAAATGCGTCTGAAAGAAATTCAGAAGATGTAAATAAATGGAGATATATACAATGTTCCTGGATCAGAAGATTCAATATTGCCAAGATGTCAGTTCTTCCCAAATTGGTCTATAAATTCAGGGTTGGGTTTTTTTTTTTTACTTTTTATTAAGATTATGATAGTTTACAACCTTGTGAAATTTCAGTTGTACATTATTGTTTGTCAGTCATGTTGTAGGTGCACCCCTTCATCCTTTGTGCTTACCCCCCATCCCCCCTTTCCCCTAGTAGCCACTAATCTGTTCTCTTTGTCTACATGTTTAACTTCCACATAGGAGTGGAGTCATACAGAGATTGTCTTTCTCTATCTGGCTTACTTCACTTAACATAATACCCTCAAGGTCCATCCATGTTGTTGTGAACGGGACTTATCTTTTTTATGGCTGTATTACATTGTATATATATACCATATCTTCTTTATCCAATCATCAGTTGATGGGCACTTAGGTTGCTTCCACATCTTGGCTATTGTAAATACTGCTGCAATGAACACAGGGGTGCATGGGCCTTTTGGAATTGCTGATTTCAAGTTCTTTGGATAGATACCCAGTAGCGGGATGGCTGGGTCATATGGTATTTCTATTTTTAATTTTTTGAGAAATCTCCATACTGTTTTCCATAGTGGCTGCACCAGTTTCAGCAGGGTTTTTTTACAGAAATAATACATTTCATTTCACTAGAGTTAAAAATTTGCTCTTTGAAAGACAATACTAAAAAATAAAAGGCATACCACAGACTGGGAGAAAATATTTACAAAACATTTATCTGACAAAAGACTTGAGTCAAGAATATATAAATAACAGTTAAAACTCAATGTTAAGATGAATGAACTAATAAAAATGGGTAAAATATTGGAACAGAAACTCCACAATATAAGATATATTAAGTACATGAAAAGAAAGTCAACATCACCAATCCTCAAGGAAATGAAAATTAATGAGATATAATTATAAATTCACTTGAAAGGCTAAAAATATAAAGATTGACAGTATCAAGTATTATGGAGAACGTGGGGCAGTTGGAACTCTCATACAATGCTGTTTGGAGTGAAAATGGTACAGCCACTTTGGAAACATTTTGATAGTTTCTAATAAAGGTAAACATATACTTAGCATATGATCCATCAATCCCACTGCTAAAGATGTACCAAGTTAAATGAAAACACTTGCCCACACAACACTTACCCACTAATTTTCATAACAGCATTGTTCATAACAGGCAAAAAGTAAATATTCCCAAAAACCCCTTATTAGATAAATGGAAAAAAAATAAATGGATATTTTGTGCCATATTCATACAATGGAATTCTAATCAGCAGTTAAAAGGAAGGAGCTACTGGTACATGCGTACATTTCAAAAACATGATGCTAAGTGAAAGAAGCCAAACTCAAAGATTGCACACTGTTTAATTGTATTTATGTGAAATTCTACAAAACAAAAATGCAAAACCCTAGTGACAGAAAATCAATGTTTGCTTGAGTCTGTGGATGGAGGAAGAGCATTGACCACAAAAGTACAGAGTTCTTTTGGGAATGATGGAAATGTTCTATGTCTTGATTGTGGTGATAATTTGTCAGAACTCATCAACTGTACATTTTAACTGAGTGAATTTATTATATGTAAATTATAGTTCAATAGACTTGAAAAGAGACTCATTTATATGTTGAAAGGCTGAAGTGATACATGAGGTATTCCAAATGGTAAGATTTCCACGAAGGCAGGAGGAGTCTATGTTTTCACATTGTGTGAAGGTTGTATGATATGTGAAGTGACCTCATCATGTAGCCCCAATTACTTAGTAAAAATCCTGTTACATACAGAAGCTTTGGTTGGGAGATGGGTTCAAGGACATGGGATTGTATCCTGTATTAATATTCATGTCTTGGGAGAGATTAAGAGAATGAAGAGAGAAGAAAACAAAGTCGCCAGAGAGGAGGAATCCAAGCAGAGCAGACCATGTAATGGTAATACACTCAGGAACTTAGGGGAAATCCCAGAGAGTTGTTTTCTTAGTTTTATAATCCATTCAATAGGATCTAGATCAATTACATTGATATCTTTAAAGGGGTGGAAAACTAAACTAACATCGGATTACAGCTACAAAAGGAATGAGTTGGCCAATAATACTTTCAAATAAACTGTCCTTAGACCATTATTCCTGCTTATAAGCCAACAGCTTCAATTGAACATATCTTCCACTTGCAAAGTAGATTTATTTCAAATGGTGATGGTGGGAGTGATATGTATAATAAATCACTTATTCAAGTGATTATCAGAAGATGTAGTCCCTTAGCTGGAAAAATATCATAGATATTTATTTTTATAATATCCTTACTAATGGCAAATATTCATACTAAATTAAGTTTTAAAAGCAAAATAAATTAACATGTACAAGTCAATTACTTTTATGGATAATTTATTCAGGATATTCATTAACACAGCTGTTGGATGAATCAAGTTATTTTCAGAGCCTAGTTCCATCTGCTTCAGATATTAGATGATCTACTACTACTGCTCCTAATTGTTCCCAGTTTATGAATTCTCATTAGTTGACAGTCTTTAAATCACAACCTTAGAAGTTATTCCCTATCTATATACACATTTAACTTCCTTAAAAAAAGTGGCGGGAGAAGAGAAGCCTACTTCTGCTGTTACTTGAGTCTCTCGCAGCTGTGATTCATTAATCTTATTATCTATCACTAAGAGTGGCAAACTAAAGGATATAGACCAATTTTCCTTTCAACATTAAAAACTAATACTACACAGCAAAGAGAAAAGATGTTTATAAAAGAAAGGTTTTAAGATATCTTCAATATGTCATTAAGCCAACTAAAGCAAATTAAACACATACTATGGGGGCAGGCCTGGTGGCCTAGTGGTTAAAGTTTTGCATGCTCTGCTTTCGCTGCCTGGTTTCATAGGTTCAGATCCCAGGCACAGACTTACACCACTTGTCAGCCATGCTGAGGCAGGCAACCCACACACAGAACAGAGGAAGATTGGTAGGAGATGTTAGCTCAGGGCTAATCTTCCTAAGAAAAAAAGCCACATACTCTTATACTTTTATTTGGTTTTATTTCATTTAATAGCATCATCTTCCAATAGGAATTACCACTTGGTATATATTTTCAAGTTTTTGGCCAAAGTTTTTGTTTTGTTTTAGATTTTAACAACCTACCTTAATGTATTAGCCTCGTGTCAGTGACAAATTAAGTCATATAGAGATACTTCATGTTCTATCTTACATTGTCATCTCCTCCACTAGAGAATGAATTCTATTGAGGCAAAAAGGGTGTTTTATTCATCTATGCTACCAAGACCTCTCAGTCTACGAGTGATTTAGCTAATGAAGAAAAGAAATGAACAAGTAGATGAATAAATGGATGGATGAATGAATGAACCATTTGGAACAGGTATTTCTTTATACTGTTGAATGTGACAAGTATATAGACAAGAATGTGACAAGTATATACGGGACAAAACACTCATATAATTTAGTGTCTTGAAAAAAGTGTGTCTCAGTCAAAGAATTGTCATAAATCTTTTTACCATTTAGCTAAATTTAATTTGGTCAATGACCAAAAAGTCCTTTAGTCTAAATTATTTCTAGGTTCCCCTTTCTTTCTATAGATATTAATGCTCAGTCAAAACTTAGCATATTAATTTTAAAACCAAGTCCCTAATTTCTATGGACACTAAATGTGGAATAATTAAAGGCTAAAGTGGTACAAATCAAAAAGGTTATCTCTAGATAATATTTCCGAATTAACCAATAAAAATAACCTTTCTTCTATGCTTGGTGGTTTGTAGAACAAATAAATATCAAAAGAGCGATGAAACCAAACTTCAAGATGGATAAGACTCTCTGAACAAAAGTTACAGGACAGATAATCTCTTTGTCACATCTCCCACTCCCACCCCATTAGTCTCTTTACTGCCCCTCTTACATCTTTGTTTCTTAGGGTGTAGATTAGAGGGTTGAGGCTAGGGGTGACAACAGTATAAAATAGGGCAATGAACTTGCCTTGATCTTGAGAATTTCCTGATGGTGGCTGGAGATATATGCACATGGCTGGAACGAAAAAGAGGGATACAACCAGAAGATGGGCTCCACAGGTCCCAAAGACTTTCTGAAGGCCAGTTGTTGACTGCATCCTCAGCACAGCCCTAGCAATGGCACCATAGGAGCTGAGAATGAGGATGAGAGGTATGAGAACAAAAATAGAGCTGGTGACCATGAGGGTCAGCTCATTAGCATGAGTATCAACACATGACAGTCGCAGTAGTGCTGGAACTTCACAGAAGAAGTGATCCACTTGGTGATGTCCACAGAGGGGTATCCAGAAGGTAAAGGAGGAATGAAGTGCTGAGTTAGTAAACCCACTTACCCAAGAAGCCAGAGCCAACAGACGGCAGAAACGAGGGTGCATGAGAATGGTGTAATGCAAAGGTCTACATACAGCTGCATAACGGTCATAGGACATCACCACCAGTAGCACACACTCTGTGGTTCCCAGTGCAAGGACAAAGTAAAGTTGAATCATGCAACCAGCATGAGAGATGGTTTTCTCTGGGCCCCAGAGGTTGACCAGCAACTGAGGGATGGAGCTGGTGGTGTAGCAGAGATCCAGAAAAGAGAGGTTTGAGAGGAAGAAGTACATGGGAGTGTGGAGATGGGAGTCCAGGTGTGACAAGATAATGATGAACAGGTTGCCTATCAATGTCATCAAGTAGAACATCAAGATAACCACAAAGAGAACTGCTTCCAAATGAGGCCAATTAGAAAAACCCAGCAGAACAAAGTAGCCTTCAGAACTTGCATTTTTTTCCTTCATCATACATTGTTTTTCTGCCCCTAAAGAAAGAATCACATAAACTCAAAGGCTGCCCACTCACTGTCAACTGATTGCAAATAATTGGGGAAAACTCTATGCCATTTCCAAATACTGCCATTAGGACAGCAGAATTTTTGATAGCTTTATTTTTATGTTTCATTCAGACATTTGTCCTGTTGTAGATAAAATCAATAACTTCTCAAGTGAATAAAATCAATAACTTCTTTCTATGCATCCTGAAGTTCGCATTTGAATAAATGAAGGTTAAAGATATTCCATAGCCAAAAAGACAATTTTCATGAAAAATCATCTTTTTTTACAAAAACATTTTAAATTTATTCACTTTTTCTACATTTTTTGGCTATTTCTAATTTTTCAGTTACAGAGAACGGAACATCTGCAGTCTTAATAATCTTACACATACATGAGTTTATCGTGAGATGAAAAGCAATTCAACAGTAACTTTAAAACGTTAATATTGGGTGAAAAAACAAAATTCAGTCGAATATGATTATAGAAAGATCAGAATATTCTTGTTGATTTATGCTACCAGCTTATTTCCAGACAAGAGAACACACAAATACAGGTATAAACAAAGACACATGCACGTGCACACACCAACTTATGAATATTCACAATATGAACTGAGCTGAAGGTCTCAGTCCTGATTAATTGGGAATTAAAATAGGTTGGGGTATTCAGTGATGGAATGCTTCGAAACATAAATGAGAATACAAATAATTTTGAAAGACAAAAGCAATTACAGAGTCTACGAAAACTGTAGAGAGGGAGCCAGACAAAAAGGGAGGGTGTTTGGATCAGGAAAGAGATGAGGAACTCTGTGGTACTTGGAATTGAAAGGGTATATATCACAGGGCTGTGAGACCTGGACAATGGGGCTTAAAGATAGTTTCCACAAAATTTAATTTACTTCAAAACAATTGCTAAGACATAATTTAAATTGAATCATAATTTATAATTACATCTTATGTTTTAGATTTCCTACAATTTGGAATGGAACTTCTGAATAGAAAATTCGCTAATTTTTAATACACAAAGATATGTGGATATTGCATAGAATCCAATGACAAGTTCATCTTGTGGTTGTTCTTTTGTAAAACATAAAGTTAAGAAATTCAAGTATGTACTATTAGTTTGATTTCCAGTTGCTTATTTTCTCTTGTGCCTTATCAATCTTTCCTTTTCAGGAGAAAAGATAAACACTCTTTTATTATATAGTTATGGCCATAAACATAGTAACCAACCATTTAAATATTCCTAAATAACCTTGCCACTTCTGTTCCTCTCATACTCTCTGATAGAACAAGGCAAAAGAGAAATTCAACCAGAACAGATCCACCCACAGACATTTGAGGGAATTTTACTGGCTCAAATACTGTAATCTTTTTTTATTGTTTTTTCCCCAAAGCCCCCTATTACATAGTTGTACATTCTAGTTGTAGGTCCTTCTAGTTCTGCTATGTGGGACGCCACCTCAGCATGGCTTGATGAGCAGTGCTAGGTCCATGCCTAGGATCCAACCAGTGAAACCCTGGGCTGCTGAGCAGAGTGTGGGAACTTAACTACTGGCAATGGGGCCGGCCCCTCAAATAGTGTAATCTTGACTCTTAAAAAATATAAGGGAAGCCCAGTTGGTTGTATTACAGCTAAAGAGCTAAGAACATTGAACGTGGCTCAGAATGGTTCAGACAGGCACAAAGATACCCATACAAATTTAGTATTACTAGTAATGTAAATGATCATTAACCTTTTGAGTCATGATGGAAAATTCCACAGGATATTTTTAAATTTCCCTAGAATAAAAAGTAATACACCACAAGATATTTGAAGTCAAATACTGTGGGTACGTTTTCTGATGCAGACATAATTTCTTCCCTTATAAAGCTGCCTGAATTCCTTACTACATTAATTAAAAGAAAGTGGCAGTTGTGTGATATTTCTTTAACTGTTGTATAACCTGTCTTTCAACATTCTTCTAAAAGTAAAAAGAGATAGGAGAAAAGGGACTAAAAAAAAACGCAGAATTAATGAAAACAAAAGTTTGGAGCTTTATGGTTTGACTTTCTTCTTAGTGGAAAAGAGGGAAATGACTCTACCAAAGGTAGCTTTTATTGACTGTGGAATAAATATCTTCTCTCTTCCTTTATGGCAAACATTATCAGGGAAGTGGGTGGCTTAGCACACTCTTCTCAACCCCATGTTTACTAACAGACGTTTTTCTAATTCTTGTCATATTTGCTCTTTTATACCAAACCTGGTTCTTAAGTGGTGCTCCATCAACTTCTTTCAGTACCAACCTTCCTGTGTTTACCCACGTTCCTTGTCATTCTCTTCCTGGTCTATGTCCTCATCATGTCTAAACTGATATGGGACTCACTGGTTGCCATGTGACCTGAGAACATTAACGTAATAGTCCTCCTATACCATCTTTGCTAATGTATGAAATCTAACTATGGAAAGCAGAGTCTGAAAATAGCTATGATTATCATTGTTATGGGAGAGAGAGCCTAGGTTTGTCCAATAATAGATTTGCTTTTAGCAGAACTTGGGAACTCCTTAGGGCATTTAAGGTATCAGGGGATGGACCCCTGAGCAAATAGGGCCTTTATGAAAACAAAAAGAATAAAGTGACTTCCTTGACTAGAGCCATAGGAGGATAAATCCCAAAGTTGTAATTAATGCCCTTCAAGGAGCTGTCCTGGTTACAATGGCATAATGTTCACAAGATAAAACTTTTCACAGGAATGCCTTCAGCATGATGTTGTACTAGTACTGAAATGACAATGAATTTATCACCAACCAATATGGAAAAAGTTGCTTGAGTTGTACTGACAATGAAAAGTATAGGTTGTACTGAGTCACCTGATTTTTTTTCCACAGCTCCTCATGGGGCTAAGGCTCAAATTTACAAGACAAGTGGTTAGACATAGAGGAATCTGGGGAGCTAGGAAACAGAAAAAGTGGAACACATTAAAACTAAACTTTTCCTTATTAACATGGAGCTCTTTTTGAGCCTACTTGCACCATTTATCTCTTCCTAATTATCTTTTAGAGTAAATTCCAAATTTATGCCTGCAAAAGTTTAGAAAATTATCCAAGTATGACTCAAACCTTTTATACTGAACATTTAGATGATCTCTACCAATTTTGTTTATTATATCAAAAATCTTCCATTAACAACTTCCCTTGCCTTTCCATTAAAATCTCCTTGCCAGGGTGGGATTTTTGTTTCCAAATCCTAATCACACAGCTGATGCTGCAGCCTGTTTTTTGTATTGCATATGTGTTCATCTGAGTCTAGCAGGAGCCACAGACATTAATTAGAAAGTCTTGGGGCTGGCCCGGTGGTGTAGTGGTTAAGTTCCTGAGCTCCACTTTGGCAGCCCAGACTTCCCTGGTTCGGATCCTGGGCATGGACCTACACACTGCTCATCAAACCATGCTGTGGTGGCATCCCACACAGAAGAACCAGAAGACTTACAACTAGGATATACAACTATGTACTGGCGCTTTGGGGAGAAAAAAAAAAGAGGAAGACTGGCAACAAATGCTAGCTTAGAGCCAACCTTCCTCACCAAAAAAAAAAAAGGATATTTTAAAAAAAAGTCTTAAGCTTGGATGTCCCTTATTTCCATTCCAAACCTCAGCAGTGCTTTGGTTCTAAAAATGAGCCAAATTCATCTCACTTGCCTTTCCCATCTGAAATCTTTGTCTGGGTCCATTTGGTTTTACATACTGGCTTCTGATTTTACACTGGGTCTGACATTCCCTCCCTAATAATAATAGCAAACAATTTTAATGCACTTAGTATGAGTTGGGCACCATTTTAAACATTACCTATATTGATCTTTTTATTCCTACCATAACCCTATAAGGTAGACTAGTCTTATTATCCAGCCTCTACAGATGAGGAAATTGGGGCACAGAGAAGTTAAGCCACTCACTCATCCATTGCCACAATGTTACTCAGTGGTGGAGGCAGGATTTGAACCCAGATATTCTGGCTCCAAGGTTGGAGGTTTTTGTCACTCTGACGTCCTCTTGAACCTCAACCACACACATTTTGCAAATATATGTTAGAGGTAAACCACTGCCAAGTAAATCCATGTTCTATTCATGTAAACTATTAAAGTCTCTGATTTTCAGGAGAAAAGGCTGCAATATTCTGTTTCTATAAGGATAGAAAAGTGCAAAACATTTTCTCCTGTGTACTACTAAGATTACCCACTATTAATCTTAAAACATTTTTCTTCTTTCAGTTGGTTTGTGAGGCTGATTGGGTAAAACGTATTCTAAAATATTCTAGACAAAATTAAACCAGATTTGGGACATGTTTTGCCCCTTTGTACTTGTTTTTACATTAATTTAAAATTTAATAAATGTTTTATACAGTTTTATACACATATATAGCATTATATATATTACATAAACACTATAAAGTAATATATAAACATTATAAAATGTATATATAATGATGTATAAACATTATATATAATGTATATATATAAATATTATATAGTATAATGTAAACATTACACATATATAAAATTAACATTATATAATAACTTCACTGGATCACCTATGAAACAGTCACCTCTTCTGTTCTTCTCCATCCTTGATACCTTTTATGAATAATCACCCACTTTGAAATGTTTTGGCTTTTCCTTTAAGAATTAACTATTTCTTAATAATATACTTAAACTGCTCATTCTTCTTTTGTTGGATTCTACAAATCCAACATGAGAAAGTTTATCATTTTTTTTCTCTTTTATGTACCCTGTAATTAGCAAGCACACTTACTCTCTCCTCTAATGACTCCATCATACTGGACATAGGTCCCATCCTGGGAGCTCCCTTCATCATCATCCTGTGAAATCTTTTCCTATTTATCCTCTGTAGCATTCTGCGTTACTTGATTTTGTGCTTTATTCTATCTTGTGAAGAACATTCTCTTTTGGTTGTTTCCTTAGGTGTGCCAAATAAAGCTTGCATTCCATGAGCTTCCGCTTTGCGGAAATGTTCTACATTGGTGTGCTAATCTTGGCTTCCTGATTAACAGATTGCAACCAGAGCAATATGTTCTTGAATCAGTAAACCTGATGTTAACCTTACTATTCCTGTGAGGAGTAACTCTCCTGACAGATCAGCTCTACAGAGGAAGCCTAGCCTAGAGCTTTTTCTTCTATTCCTTCCTTTGCTTTTGTAATGAGTTAATTTTCAACATTATGTCTCTTTTTCTTTAAGATGTCTTTTCATATATGCACTAAACCCTGAATAAATTTATATTTTGTAACAGAAATGGTTATAAGGAATAGATCTTCAAGAATAGAAATTTAGGGAAGTGATGTCAGCTTCATAGTAGTAAAAGACATCCCTCATTTTTGTACCCCCTTCAACAATGAAATATGGCATCCATCCATGAACAAAACTGCCTCTATGAGAGTTGTGGTAGCCACCTTCAGGAAAACAAAAGAGAGGCTATCAGCAGCTGGGCTAGTGCATAGCAGGATCAAGAGAAGACGTGAAATCTGAAGAAATCTGCCACAAGAGGGAACAGATGTGTGGAGCAGGTGTATCTATATAAGGTCTGAGAAAGCCTCAGAATCTCTAATAGGGCTAACAGAAGATATCTCACCTAAAGGATGATAGTAAAGATTAGAAGAGGTGACTACTACTTCAACCGCAAAGAAAGCAATGCAAAACTTCAAGGAGCATGAAAAATCAAGGAGACATGACAGGACCAAAAGGTCACACTAATCTTCCAGTAACCAAACCCATAGAAATGGAGATCTATGATTTACCAGATAAAGAATTCAAAATAGATGTTTTAAGAAAATTCAATGAGCTACAAGAAAACACAGAGAGATAAATCAACAAAATCAGGAAAACAACATATGAACAAAGTGAGATTATCAAACAGATAGCTATCTATAAAAGAACAAAACAAATCTTGGAAATGAAGAATACAACAAATGAAATGAAAAATGCAACAGAGAGTTTCAACATCAGAATAGATCAAACAGAAGAAAACATCTGTGAACTAGAAGATACAAAGTTTGAAATTATTCAGTTAGAGTACAACAAAGAAAATAGAATGAAAATGAAAGAAGAAAGCTGACATGATCTATGGGATACCATCTAAAGAAACAATGGGTGAATTAATGGAGTTATAGAAGAACAAGAGAGGGAGAAGGGAGTAGAAAGCTTATTTAAAGAAGGAATGGCTGAGAAATTCCCAACCTTGGGAAGATTTGGACACACAAATTCATGAGGCTAATAAGTCACCTGATAATTTCAATCCAAAACTATCTTCTCCAAGACATATCATAATAATACTGTCAAAACTCAAAGACAAAGAGGGGCCATCCCTGTGGCACAGTGGTGAAGTTCACGCACTCCACTTCAGCAGCCTGTGATTCATGGGTTTGGATCC